ATGGGAGTTGTGCTACTGGTGAATCTGTCCTCCTTTTCCTCTTCTATTCTGAGAAGGTAATATAACACAAGGCCAAAAGTTGAGTATACAATGAATCCCAATTAATAATTTAATTTTATAATCAAAAGATGAGTCAATATATATCCTTAAATAGTCAAACACAACCAGTTTAACCTATATCTTCACATTTTTATCTTTACTGTACCAGTACATTGCCCAACCTTATTTGTGCTAGGGATTATTTTTCCAGACCTGACCATGTTTTCAGAAAATTGATTTTATAGGTAGAAAAGGGGTTAAGAAAACCATTGTCACCACATAAGATTCATTGGAATTGTCTTAAAAGAATAGCCTGACCTGAGCAACAGAAAACTTTCAAAAAACAAACAACAAATCACAAACTCTACACCACTATGTTTAACAGCTCAAACACACAATGCACCGCAATACAAAACACCTTTCATAAACATTACAGTACCATTTTTGAAAATGAAGAATGCTAAAAAGTTCCAAGGAGTGAAATTCACTACACTAGGCATGATAAAAATAACGTAACAAGAAAACTACATGGTGCGTTCTGGGAAACACTGGTAACCCCCAAGCAACAGCAGCAGACAGGAACAGACAGATCAACTCTGCATGCAGCAAGGTATTCTTGGAGTACTCTGCACTAAGAGATAGAAAGAAGCAGAACCCAAAGCAGCATAAGCAGGGCTAGCACTCTCCCTTCATCTATTCTTAGCTCTGAAATACTTCACATCAGCACTGGCCCCCTACACCGTCCACAGCTACGAACTACTAAAGGTCTGACTTGCAGAGAGGAAAAAAGATGTGGCTTACATGAGAATCTGCTTAACACAAGGCAACACCAATTGGAATTCACATAATAACAAGGAGATCACTGTAGCTAAAATATATGGTTGATGCCTTGTTGGTGGCAATTTTCTACTTCACCCAATTCAGATACTCCAGGTTACACAAAGTTAGCTGGGGAAACAAAGAACAATAGAATATTATTTTAAATTACTAAAAATGTGAGCCATGTGGGAAAACTATGCCATCAGCATCAACAGAGTCAATCTAAGCAGTATAACTATACAGAAGTATGAGAATTTAAAACATTTAAACTAATTGCTTATATAACTATTCTAACAGTAGGAAAAAGAACATGCACTGTGTGTTCAGTGAGGCAATCAGACTATCATCTAGCTTAATTAGCTGATCACTGAGACATTTTCATTTGTATTTCAGCTTTATATTCAAAATTCTCTATATCATTACTGGCCAGTGTTTTTGTCTAAACCAACCAAATCCTTTACTTTTGGTAAGGGTTACCTGTTACCATAAGAGTCTCACTGATCTACAGGTGGCTTAAAATACCTCATGGAAGAAAAAAAAAAAAACACCCTTACTACAGATGCCTTTTGAATTGAGTAAAAGATCTCCAACAGATCTAAAAGTTACCACTCCAGCATTTAAATTTTGCAGAAGAACAATACACATCAGAACAACTCAGTGTTACACAATGTAAAAAGGTTACTAAACACATTCATTAAAATCCTGATTCTGTAAATTTCACAAACAGATAACACTACTTACAGTAACAGCTGTGTCATGTGTTTGGACAGTTTAGGCCTTCATCCCACATTCTGTTGATGAAGCTACACTGGCTTTAATGTTAAAGACACTAAAACAATTGTATCCATGCTATGATGAGGAGGTAGAACACAAGACCCTGCTCCTTTAAACTGAAAAGAACTCAGAACTTTTCCAGAGAACTAAATGTACTTCTAAATAAGATACATACAGGCACAGATACCTTTCAGTCCAAGGTAAAACATAAAACCACTTAAGAATAAAATTTTAAAAATAAACATCAGTTTAAAAAAAGAAAAAGAACAGAATTAGAGGTGAAACTGTTGATATGGTTAACTCCAAGCCAAAATTATTATAGATACTGCCAGTATTCTTACTTTCTTTACATGGAATCACACTGAATCATTAAGGTTGGAAAAGACCTCCAAGGTTATCCAGTCCAACTGTCCACCTACCACCAATACTGCCCACTAAACCACGTCCCTCAGTACCACATCTAAAAGTTTCCTGAATGCTTCCAAAGATGGTGACTCAACTGCCTTCCTGGACAGCCCTTTCCAGCCCTTGCCACTCTTTCAGAGAAGTTTTTCCTAACATCCAATCTGCATCTCCCCTTGTGCAACTTAAGGCCACTCTCTCTAATACTTTCACTGTTACCTAGAAGAGGCCAACCCCCACCTCACCACAAACTTCTTTTCAGGTAGTTATAGAGCAATAAAGTCTCCCCTGAGCATCTTCTTCTCTACACCAAACAATCCCTCAGCTGCTCCTCCTAAAACTTGTGCTCCAGAGCCTTCACCATCTTTGGTGCCTTTCTCCAGACATGACAGAATCACAGGACGGGGCATCCACAATCTCTCTGCGCAGCCTGTTCCAGCACCTCACCACTCTCTGGGTAAAGAATTTCCCCCTGATGTCCAACCTAAATCTCCCCTCCCTCAACTTAAAACCATTTCCCCTCGTCCTACACATAACAACCCTTTCAAAGAGTTGATTCCCCTCCCCTCTGTAGGCTCCCTTTAGGTACTGAAAGGCTGCAATGAGGTCACCCCGCAGCCTTCTTTCCTCCAGCCTGAACAAGCCCAGCTCCCTCAGCCTGTCTTCATAGGAGAGGTGCTCCAGCCCCCTGATCATCTTCATGGCCCTCCTCTGGACCCTCTCCAACAGCTCCCTGTCTTTTTTGTATTGCGGGCTCCACACTTGGACGCAGCATTCCAGATGGGGCCTCATAAAAGCAGAATAGAGGGGGACAATCACCTCCCTGTCCCTGCTGGCCACCCCTCTTCTGATGGAGCCCAGGACACCATTTGCCCTCCGAGCCGCAAGAGCACACTGTTGGCTCATATTAAGTTTTTCATCCATCAGGACCCCCAGGTCCTTCTCCACAGGGCTGCTCTCAAGGACTGCTCTTTCCAGCCTGTACGGATGCCTGGGATTCCTCCAGCTCAAGTGCAAAACCTTTCACTTTGCCGTGTTGAACCTCATCAGGTTCACCCGGGCCCACCTTTCTAGCCTCTCGAGGTCATGGCATCCCTTCCTTCCACCGTGTCAAACACACCACTCAGCTTGGTGTCACCACAAACTTGCTGAGGATGCACTCGATTCCTACATCAATGTCATTGATAAAGATGTTGAAGAGCATCGGTCCCAAGACAGACCCCTGGGGGCCACCACCCGTTACCGGCCCCCACCTGGACATAGAGCCATTGACCACCACCCTCTGTCTGCAGCCTTTCAACCAGTTTCTTATCCATTGAGTGGTCCACCCATCAAATCCACATCCCTCCAATTTGGAGATGAGGATGTGGTGGGGACCATGTCAAAGGCCTTGCTCTAGTCTAGGTAAATGACATCGGTCGCCCTTCCCTTATCCACCGATGCCGTCACTCCATCATAGAAGGCCACCAGATTGGTCAAGCATGACCTTCCTCTGATGAAGCCAACCCAGGGCCTTGATGTCTTTCTTGTACTGAGGAGTCCAAAACTGAACACTGTACTCAAGACGGGGACTCAGCAGAGCTGAGTAATGGGGACAACCACCTCCCTGCTCCTGCAGGTTACACTACTTGTGATACAAGTCAGGATGTTGCTGGCCTTCTTGGCCATCTAGCTCACGTTCAGCTGAGCATCAATCAATGCCCTCAAGTCCATTTCCCCCCTGCACTATTTCTGCTACTGTGTCTCAACCCTGTAGCATTGTCTAAGGTTGTTATGACTGAACTGCAGGATCTAGCAATTGATTTTGTTGAACTTCATCCCATTGGCCTCAGCCCAGCAACCCAGACTGTCCAGATCCCTCTGTAGGGTCATCCTACCCTGAGTCATGTCAACATCTTCCTCCTAGCTTGGTGTCATCTGCAAACTTCCTGAGGGTGCAATCAATGCCCCCATTCAGGTCATCAATAAAGATACTGAACAGGACAGGCCTCACTACTGACCCCTAGGGAACACCACTTGTAACTGATCACCAGCTGGATTTAACTCCATTCTCCACCACACTGGGCCTGGCCACGCAGCCAGTTCTTTACCCAGTAGAGTGCACTTGTCCAGGCCGTGGGCTGCCAGCTTTGCCAGGAGAATACGGTGGGAGACACTGTCAGACTTTGCTGAAGTCTAGGTATATCAAAATTTCACAGCCCTCTTTCATCTCATCGATTATGTTACTTCCTTGTCTAGCTCCTTGCAAAATGGACCTATTCATGAGAGCAGCTGCCTCGGCGCCGAGCAATAAAGCTCCTACTTTATCCCATGCCTCAGGTGCAAATCTTCTATCCACAGGAGGTTTGCTGCTGCTGAAGGCAGTTTGTTTCCTGCATTTATCCTGCTTCTTGGAAGAGCCCAGCATGCAGAAAGACAATGCATTCAGGTACAGAACAAGCTGTTATTTGTCTAAGCGGGAACTAGTTAATGTGTAGCACGTTATTGTTGTTTCCTTCCTCTCGTCCCCCACGTACTTCCGAGAGCAGCGGGTAGCAAGGCATGTCGGCACACAAGCGGCAGACGAACGTCCCGATCACCGCAGCGGGGTCCTCCGAGCGGCTGACTCAGCCGCAGGAAAGCCACGCATGCGGCCGCGGGAGCAGCAGTGGGGTTCCCTCAGGGCGCCCGCCCGGCCCCAGGCTGCGCCGCGTCTCCATTCGCGGCCGCGGCGGCGCCCCCGGGTCTGCCCCACCGCCTCCTCAGGGTACGGGTCCGCGCACAGGCTTCCGCCTGCGGCCGATCCCGCTCCCCACGGCCCGCCGGCAGCTCCCGCCGCCGCGCTCCGCTCTCCCCGCCCCGCTCCCTGAGCCCTCCGTGCGGCAGCAAGGCCCCGCGGTCGGCCCCGAGCTTCAGGCCGCTTCCCCTCGGCGGGACGCGGCCAGAGAACGGGCGGCGACCAGCCCCCCAGCACCCCCGGGCCGTACCTCGGCTGAGATCGAGGGGGACGTTCTCCTCGCCGCTGTCGTTGCGACCTGCGGGGACGGGGACAGTAAGCGGAGAGAGCGTTAGGCGGGCGGCGAGAAAAAAGACGAGGGAAGACAGAAGGAAGCGGCGGGGGGGAGGAGGGCGGGTGAGAGGGGCGGCGGGGCGCCGGAAACCGGGCGGCGCGGCCCGGCCGGGCACCTTACCTCGAATGCGGAGGTGCCTCAGCGAGCGGGCGCGGAGGCTCACCGCCATGTTTACGGCCCCGCAGTCACAACACCGGAAACCTCGCCCGCTCTCGCGAGAAAAACCCCGCGGAGCCGCCACGGCCGCGTACGGCGCCTCCGCCCCGCCCCATGCCGGCCCCCCACCCACCCTCCCGTCGCGCCGCCGGCGGGACCGGCGCGGGGGCGGCTGAGGGGAGGGAGGTGGCCAGAGAGCCCGCGCTGTCAGCGCTAGCCTCGCGGGGTGGGCCGGGCCCAGGAGAGGGGGTTTCTGGGTTGTTTGTTTTTTTGGGTTTTTTTTTTTATTATTTATTTTTGAGGTTTTCATGCTCGCTTTTTCTTTCCCTAGAGCTGCACTTGCCCCGTGTTGCGGTGGTGGCTCGGGGGATGACGAGTGGCAGTGCACGCAGCGGGTGTGCGCATCAGTGAAGAACAAAAAGGAAAATATTATCCCTTCCTTGCTCTGTTTCAGTCGCAGTGGGTCCCTGCGGTCTCAAGCGTGGATCTGTTTATTTCCTCGAGATCTGTTAATAAAATCAGTGTGTGTGTGTGTGAAATGCTTTTGCTGAAGGAAGGCCCTACGCAGAGCCGGCAGATTTGCCTACACACCCGTTTGTCCTTTCCAGGCAGAAGCCCATCCACATGCGCGACTTGCTCCCTGCCCTGGCTCTGGGAGGCTGCAGTCCAGGCACGGCCCTCACCAGGATTCACAAGACGTGAAAGTAGTGACCACACTGACGTGCAGGATTGGCCCTGCAGGCATAGATTCACCAGCTCCAGCTGCTGTTTCAATGCTTTGGCTTTCCCTCCTTGTCATGGGTCGTCTTTCAGTTCAGATCCTACGTCACCGCCCTAAAAATTGGTGTTCTAAACATCAACAGTGATTTAGGTGGCTAAAAGTAGCTGTCCCTAAAGCCAGAGCAGAGAGGGATTGTGGCATTCCATTCAAGTTTCTAGCGTTGCAGCTCAGGATATACATATGAGAACCTTGTTTTAATAGGATTATGTCAGCTTTATTTAGTCTAAAAAGCCATTTCAACAATTTCCTATTTCAATTTTCGCTTATTAAACAAGAGACTAATATCTTGATGGATTCCAGTTCTCAAAATTTAAAGGTAGAAATAATGAAATCTCACTCATGCGTAACACAAGACCAAAGTATACAGATTGCTTTAATGGTTTCATCAATATGCCTCAGAGGTTCCCTTTGAAATTTCATGTCCAGGGAGCTCTTGACTTCCTGAAAATGCTAAATTAACCGCTGCTTCTGGTAGTAATACTGCATTCTGTTTACTAGAGGTGATGCTGGGTCTCATTAATTTCACACCAGCTTTGAAGCACCATGGACCGTTGGCTTGGTCTTGAGCTTCTGAGTTGGACTTGAATCTATAATCTGCATGTGAAATGCTGGTGACACGCAGCACTTAATTCTTCCCTAGTAGCTACAGTCAGACAAACACACTGCTTTATGAAAGAGCACTTTCCAGCATGGACAGCAAGACTTGGAGTGGTATTTAAAGTCCAGCTGACTCTTCTAGCATTTTGTTCCTGCAGAAAGGAGACACTGTTTAATAATCAAAATATTTCTGAACTCCTTGCTTGTTATTTTTTCTCTTCTTTCTTCCCCATGTTTTCTCGATTAAATAGAGTTATGCAGATAAATTACAGGTTGTCTCTGACAGGCAAGATAATGTCCCTAAATCACTTATGAGCGGGAATACACAAGGCTACCTGACAGATAGATTGGAGTGTAATTAATATTTTCCACAATTGAAAAAATATATGTAAGTATAAATATATATATGTGTATGTATAAAATGCAAAGTAGCAAGGATGCGCTGGCCTTAACTACCATTTGAAGAGCTCTACACAAGAAGAAAATAAAAAAGCGTGCTGTGGAAGGAAGCGTGCCCTTAAAATGTCATGGTTACAACTGTATGAGGACTCCTCACCCTACCAGAGGGTATTTTGAGATCTTGATCTGGAGATTTTCTTTCTGTTCTTTCTTTTATTAAATGTGGGGAAAGGATCACACGAAAAAAAAATAATTTAAAATTGTTTTAGATTCCTTGCTAAAGTTTTTGACACATATTTATAAACTACTAAGGAGAGCGAACATTGGGCCAAACAAAACAAAGCAACACAGAACTGTTATTTTGTTGATTTGGTGGGATGGGGGTGGAATACGAAGGTGACAAATGTCTTCAGCTGTCCAGTGACTTCTCTGTGTCACAGATTTATCTACGTAAGGCAGTTTATTTAATTTATTAATTTTGTCTTTAGCTGCCCATAATTAAGCAGAGAAAAAAATGTTTTAATCGCCACGTGGGGAATAAAGCTCCTTTGATTTTACTTTGATTTCCTCCTCTACATGCCAGAGGCTTATGAAGAAACACCTTTGTTCCATCATTTTCTAATGAGAAGATTGTAATTTTTGTCTCCTCAAATATAAGATTATGGTAATGACAGTATTTGTACATCCACTAAGGTTCTGCAGTATGCTACAGAGAATGTTGCTACCTGAACTATACATCTTCAGGATTTAAAACCTAGTGTGAAGATACAGGAGAAGTTTTTCCATTTGTTTGGAGTCAAAGAAATGCTGGTACAAGGGACAAGCTGAGGGCAGAGCCTTACGTGGCTGAAATTGCTGAAACACTGTGGAAGTGAGTGGAAATGTGCAGTTTATCCCAAATGCAGCCTACTTTTCATAGTCATGTGAAGAAAAAAAACAGAAAAACATACGTCAAGTCACACAGATAAGATGTTAGCTTTCTGAACTCAAGTGAGCTACAACAATTTGGATTTGTTGCACTTTATCTCTCCTAGGTATGTTACTAATAACCCTCCTTAATTTTCAGTATCGTGAAATTAATTTTAGATAGATGTAAAATCCTGAATGACAATGGGCTGAGGAGGAAGAGAAGAAAACATAGTGAATGAGACAAAAAGTTTAAGAAAAATCATTGCTTCTTTTGCTATCTCTATACTGTTAGTAAGGACTTTGCAATTATTCTCTTTGCTCTGACTTTTTCTTCTCCTGAAGTCTACCCAAATACTTCAGAAAGGATGAGACCTCAGCTCTATTTCCTACTGTCTTGAAAAACTGTCGGTGAAATGGAAAGCATAGGGAAACCACCATCCATCGAATGAAGTATTTTGAAAGCAGTTTTGTTGTCAAATGGGATAGAAAAAGGTCTAAATCAGCTGTCGTCTTGGAGTATCTCTGTGCCCTGGATCCTGCCTAAGAATCCTGGATTCTTAGAGGATTTAAGAAAATGTGAATATGGGAAAGTTCTGTTGAAACCCTGGCTGAATTTGGGTACAGGAAGAGGCAGGGGTCTTCAGGACTCTGCAGCTGTCCTGAGCCAAAGGTTATAAGCCAAATAATTCAGCCAATTAATTATAATTATAACTAACAATAAAACAGTTTGCAGCAGCAATATGATTTGGCTAAAGAAGAATAATTAACGTGTTCTTCTGGAGTCGCTCTGATTTTGATCTAAGTTATTTCATGAACACAGTAACCGTAAATCCAAATAGAAGTTAAAAAAAAAAAAAAAGAAAGATAAAATCTGAATTGATTGCAGCTGGGTAAAATGTTAGCATTTCTTCATTATCCAGTAATGGAAGGAATTAACCTAACATGGAGCACATAACAGAAGATTATGCAAGAGCACCAATAAGTGGCATAGTAAAGCAACAATAACCAGCTGCAGAATAACAGCATGTCAATTGATGTAACAGGTCTTCCTGGGCAAGCTGCTAACTGGGTGGTTAATTAGTGCAAACTCTCATTTAAGCACTCATTCCTGTCAGATTTTTCACAGCATTCTGTGCTGCATAATGCTGTTGAAGCTGTGAAAAGCAACAGGTGCTCAGTCTGTGTATGGCTAGCATATTAATTAAACCTGAGGAAAAAAACCACAGCTGTCGAAGGTTTCAGTCCAAATAAATCCCAGTCACAGGGCTGAAGCTATACATATGCATAATTTATCACCACTTGATTCAAAATCTCTATAGCAGCAAAGTTATTTTTTTTCTTTAAGTTTTCATTATCGTTTTATTTTAAATTGATCCTTGGGCAAAAAGTTCTGTACTATTGTACGGCTTGCTTTCCATTAGGAAATCATAGCATAGAATCATAGAATGACTTTGGTTGGAAGGGGCCATAAAAATCATCAATGTCCAACCCCCCTGCTGGAAACATTTGAGTTTATTTTCAATAGGTCAATTTATTAATTTTTATTCAAGCTCTAAGTAATTTGATTTACTTTCATGCAGCATCTCAATTACTGAAAAAAAGCCTCCTCAAATACTGTTTGATCTAATTTGAAACGCTATGGCAAAAACAGCATAGGTCACAAACACAAGAATCATTGAATTCTTCTCAGCTGTTGGCACAGCAGAGAACCTCTGCTGGTGTCAAGCATGGATTTGGGCATCTCGTTCCAAAAATGGGCATTTACACTGAACAACCTCTAAAAATGAAACAAAAATTCAAATGCCAGGAGCAGGGAAGCAGAAATAGGGGAAGAGCTCAATTAGATGAAAAGGGAAAAGAACAGGGAAGGAAGGAAACGAGGGACACAATGCCATGATCAGAGGATCGAGGAAAAGAGGAATAACTGTAGGGAATAGAAAGTGATTGTGAAAGTAAGTGGAAGCATGTTGATCATGTCTCACACAGAGAAGAGGGCAGTGGCACCCAGACCCAGCGTGTCTTTGGGTCCTTGGCTTACCTGAGGGAGCTGGATAGCAGGACAGAGAGCTGGGCTGGGGGCATGGCATGCCTCAGGCAGAGCAAGGAGAGGTCGGGGCCCCGTGCCCTGTGCTGGCACTCCTTGTGCATTTCCCACCCGAAGCCCACACGTGCCAACAAGGGAGCAGGTGGCTTTTCCTGCTAAGGACTTGGAAATCAGGAATCAGGCCAAAAAGAGAGTTACAAGGGAGGGAAAAAAGCTGGTACTTTTTTCTTTTTTGTTTTCTTCGTCTGTCTCACGATGCTTGAGCTGTAGGATTTGGCAATACTGCTGAAGTAAAATGAATGGTAGTGTTTCCTGGGACCACTGGTATCCACTTAATTCACATTTCATTCATGTACGTGTTGACATTTTGCATACTTTCCTGGTGCCTAACAGTGAAAATACTGAGATTAAGTGATGTTTCTAAATGCATTAGGAATGAAAATAGTTTCCTGTGTTCTTTTCAACAACGTCCGTGATATAAAAACCCTTGAGCATGAAACTTCATACATTTAATAACAGCTTAATCCATTCTTTCCAAATGGTTTAAAGGGAGGCAAATGATGATAATTCAACAAATTCTACACATATTCAGGAGCTGGTAGTCTAAGCACAGAGAATAAAAGCCATGTGTGCTCCTTGCTGTTTTGCTCTACCCGGCAAAGGAGGGGACCTGGGACCATCATGCTGCACAGGTGGAAGTCAGTGATGCTGCAGCCATGCTGAGCAGTGGGGAGAGGATTCCTGCCCATTGTGGTGCTGGGAGGTGCTAGGGATAGACCCTTTGGCTGGACTACCATCTGGTTCCTTGGCAGTAGGGATAGAGGGCTTGGCTGCCATGCTTGTTGAGCGACTTCGGAGAAATAAGTTAATTCTCCCAGAACAAGTCTGAGTATCTCAGCCCAGTGTCTCCCCAGACCACGAACACCGAAAGCTGTAGCTCTGGCCATAGCTGTAGGGATGACACAGACCATGACAGCAAACTCGGTGTCCACACCAATTTTGGTGGAAAATGAATAGACATTTCGCTATATATCATCTAAGCTATGATTTAAATCATATTTCAATGGTATCCCCAATCTGCCCTTTTTACTACTGTGTACTTGTATTTAAAATATATATTATGGATGTTCACACTTTTCAAACATGAAGTGGTTTCTCTCTCCTCTTTTAACCACTGGAAGAAGCAAAAAGCAGAATGTATTGAGAGTGCTAATATGAGGAAAAAAAAACCCACTAAGAATATCATTAATTTAGCTTTAGTAATTTGCTTTTATGCCTGGAACTAATGGATATGTGCCACAAATTGTCCTTTGTGCCTTCCTTTCATACACTGAAATGAGAACAAAATATTTTTCTGTTTCACAAGATAACTCCATTCCTATTCATGGAAATCTGAGATCTCCTTGTGATGGATGGCATGGGACACAATACTTCTGGTGCAACAGAAGCCAGGGAAGATTTGCAGAGCTGAATAACTGCCTTTTCTGTTAGGTCTCATCCAGAACTGCACTAAATGAGGCAGGGATCCTGTGGAAAAATCTCCCAAGCCATTCAGCAACTATTGACTGCACACAAGTGGGCAGGACTGAGGACGTGCAAATGCAAACTGATGTTTCCTTGAGTTCGGATGCTTCACTCTGCAGTGAGGCTGTGTGTGGAAGCTTTTTCCTTGTAGAAATATCTGTGGTTGGTGGTCAGATGTCTCCTTTTATGGATTCATCATTCTTCTCAGAAGTTGACTTATTTGCCGCAAAATACATACACAGTGATGCACACACGCACACACGCACCTATTTCAGCTGTAGAGCAATGTGGTGTTTCATCCTTAAGCTGCTGCATTTAGCCTCCTACACTGCATTTCCTTTCCCTCGCCAAAGCACCAATCTTTGCTGCTAAGGTGGATTATGTGAGAGGATCACACATTGAGGAGGGCTTTGTTACCACCGAGGGAGGAGTAGACAGGGGATCTGCAATTATGAGGATCGAAAATATAAACCTCTTAGGCAGGAATGCACAGGAGATCAGTGGCATTCCTGTAGCCCAGGGAAAAGCCTGCAGTAAAAGCAGGGAAAATGCTCTAAAGCTGCTGAATCAGAGGAAAAAACTCTCCTGCTTTTTGTTTTGCTTAGCTTGTTTACCAGAACACCATGGAGGTCCAACTGGATGGAAAGCAGTGCTATTTAACTCAGCTGGGTTATTCATGCTGAAGCCTATTTTTTTGTCAATATTTTGGTGTTTTCTGTGCTGAATGTTTTAGCAGGCATAGCCAAAAACTCCAGGATTATAAACAGAGTTTGGAGAGGGAAAAATGTCTAGAGAGAGAATAGCTTTCCTTTTGTTTCTTTATGAATTTTAGAAAATATAACAAATTACTGGTGAGAAAGCCTTAAAATATAGCCTTTATTAAACTAACTAAGTAGTAGAGTTTCCTGTCTGAAGTCTTTCTGCTTACATATCACATTCTGAATAGTAGTTGCTGACAAATGCCACATAGTAGCTGTGCTTCCATTGCAGCAGTAGTAAAGATTTTTACTCTGTCTGCTATTTGGTGATAATTACCAGAAGTTACTTTTCAGCTACTGATGTTCTGGCTTGGCAGAAGGTGGTGTGCCCACATGTCTTGGGAGAAAGCATGCATTTATTAAGAATTAAAAACAAAAACAAAACAAAACAAAAAAGAAATACACTGAATCCAGCTAAAGGCACTGGTAAAGTAACAAAATGAAAATATTTATTGTGATTTCAGTGTATGATACCTTATAACTACACTTCAGCACCCCATGCCAATCACACTATATATCAAAGAATGCATAAATTTTTAGTTTAAAGTATCTTACTTCGTACAACGATCCAGTGCCCCATGAGATCAGTACAGAGTCAACAAGGAAACAGTACCTACATCACATCAAAGTTATGAAAATGGTAAAGTTATTCAAATGCATAACCAACAAATCTTAGTAAAATTCACATTTGTGCAGGGGAACAAAAGAGGTTTGTGTATTACTGAGGTTCTTTAATGCAAGATAAAGTATGCACAGAAGGAAAGTTCCTTTGTTGATCCTACTGCAATGCATTGAGATCTACGATGAGTTGAAATCAAAATAAGATTGAGCATATATACTTTGAAATTTAACACAAACTCTTTATTTCAATTAATTAAGTAAAGCATGAAAGTTTTTATCCTATTTTTAACTGACCAGTGGTCGAGTTATTTCTGAATGTCTAAAATTTGAAACTGGAATTTGCCCCAGTTTGCTGTCACATTACCTACCCAGCGCACGTGCCTTTTAGAAATCCCCATAAAAAATAAATCAAGCACCAACAGCTAAGACACATTCATTTTATTTAATTTAAAAGATCATGTTTTAAATTTGAGTGCAGGTGCTGATGTTCACACATAGAATTGGTGCTTGCATGGCTGGATTCTGGTTTTAACAATACATTTAGATCTGGAAATACAAGATTGCTGCTAGCTTTTCTGCGTACTACCAGTGATTTTAAATGCGGATATTATTCCTACAATTAATGTCATTTTTGCTACCATAGCATTCTGCTTATTTGGAGATATAATATACTTAGAATTATCAGTAAAAGGCACTTGTGTGTGATGAAATCTCAGCTCCACTGAAAGTGAGTCCAAAATTCTGACTTCAACAGAGCCAAAATTTCTTTATGTTTAGAAGCTAAACTTACCAGCTTGCTGCATTGACTGTGTTGAAGAATGTAATTATCATATCTGCTCTTGAGAATTAGTGGAGACTTGATTATCAAGAAGGACTTTCTGATCTAGCCACAACAGTTCTGACAAATTTTTTATTATCTTGCAAAACAACAGGAAAAGCATCACGCAGTACAAATAGATTCCATTTTCTGTACTCACTCACCCTCTTTACTGGAGTTCACTGTAAACTTCTTTCGATTTCCAGTGAGTTCTGATACATAAGCAAGTCCACAGTGATTATTATTATTATGGTACACGCATCCATTTTGAATTGTTTTGCTATCTGCTCATTCATATGAAAGCTCTGCTAGTTACCATGGCCACTTTAGGAATAAATACCATTTCTACAATGGATCAGCGTGGAAATATCTGATTTATATACCTATGTAAAAAAATAATACCTAAAAGATAAAGGTAGCATCAATAAACATACTTTTTAAATGTAGAAATTATTTCCAACCAATTTATAAGTGTGTAGGTCCATTTTAATGCCTAAAATATTATAGTGACAGCGATATATGTTTAAACTACAAAGAAATTAAATCTTGACCTAAGCAATCTGAAGATATTCAAAGAAACGCTACTATAAAGGAGACTGTTTTATGGTTTATATCTCAGTGTGGTATGTAACATAACATAATTAATGTTTTACTATTAATGTTATGGCAGCCAAAAAGTACTTACAAAATAAAGATAATTTTAGAAATTGGCAATATATCACTAGCACAACACAGAAAAAGAAATTTTAGCAACGAAGGTACATGGCTGTACATGTCAGTGTAGCTAACACATTTACAGTTGGAAAAACAGGTGAGCAGTACTTAGTCTGATGCCCACTTTTGATTTCCTGTTTTCACAACAGGATGTTATCCCCAAAGGAAGCATCTTTACAGGATGCTGTCATACCCAGAGTGGCAGTCGCTGGAGTTCATTAAAGTGGAGCTAGAGTAAAACTTGTTCACAGGGTTTGTTGTCCTTTGTATCCTTCGTAGACCTGAACTGGCCTCTTTGGGCACAGCTAATTGAAGAATTGTTTTTACATGGATTGTTAACACCACAGAATGGAAGTGGAAGATGTCAACTTCAGTTTCAGTTCATATGCCCCATATTTGAATTGCTCTCATAAATGGCAGTACAAATATCTCACAAAGTAACTGAGAATAAAAGCCTGAAAAAAAAATGCAAACCAAATATTGTACATTTAAAGAGCTTAAGCAATTAAGTTGTAATCATCTTTAATGACTTCTCTTGCTTGGCAAGTAGAAGTCCAGCATAGATTTTGGTCTTCAATGAAGCTCTTACTCTCACAGAATTCTGCGTTAGTCATTATCATAGATGCAATCTGAAATGGAAATAGAATGCATGAAGATTGGCATTTAGCACTTTGACTAAAGGATAAAATTAATTGTAATTTAATATATTATTGTAATGATTGAAATGTTCAACATACCTTCGCCAATGTCATCATAAATTTCTCCATCACTGAAAGTTAGAAAAAGAGAAGAATAATGTATTTCAAATGGAAATATAGATATTACTCTCTGACTACAGGTATGAAATGCTGTAGCACTGTGGTTCAGATGCACTGTACATATGTACATACAGTTCATTTGCTGCTTAGGAAAGTGCTGCATTAATTGTAAAAAAACAGCACTGAGCAAGAAGGTAAAGACAGAAGAGCTTCAGCAGAGGGCAAAGCTGTATTTCTTTCTAAAGTAAAATGCATGCATCGTTAAAAGATTTTTTAAACTAGGTTTTAAAATAGCTATTCCAGCAAGTGCATACTAACATTTCCATTAAGAATGAACGACTAAATGAGGTGTTTTTTTAAATCAAAATTGGGAAAGATAATTAAAAAAAAATCAGTATAGACCTGAAATGCTTATTTGTTTCTGTTCACATTTGGATATGTTGTAATGATCTTGGAAGACCAGATTTTTGGATAAGGAATTTGCATAAGTTCTATATATGATAATTGTTCTCTGAGAAGGAATTTTCAAAATATGTCACTCAGACACTTGAACAGTTGCCTGGAAGCCAATAGGGCTATTTATATATGTAAGCTAAGCCCATGTATAAGTGTTTGCAGGCCTGACTTCTAAAATTGACATCTGATTTAATATTTAGAGATCTAACACAAAGCACATTGAAGGAAATGGAGAGGCTCTGTCTGACAAAGATTTTGGATTAGAACCACAAAATTATTCTCAGGAACACGGAGCCAAATCTGCTCAATCCCAATAAGACTGAAATAAAAATAAGCCTTATGAATAATTGGTCCTCTTTAGTTAAACATTTGGAATTGGCATCAGTATATTTAATCACATAAATGTTGGTTTTAATAATAGATTATAGTCCTGATAATACTTTATTTATGCTGTTTTTCGTGGTTCAAGCCAGAATCTGTGGGTAAGCAATGAAGAATGAGGTCTTGGATAATTTCCAGCTTAGATGTATGTGATTAGTTCTTGAGAAATCAAAACTCCATAGAAGTATCTCGATTTATAGCACCGGGATGACATATTGAAATAATCAGATTTCACATTTATTTAACAAACAGTTCCAAACAAAGAACAGCATTAAAAATAAATGTTTCAAAACGATGATTCTGTACTTACTTCTCAAGTAAATTGCTTCTTAGAACATAGCCATCTATAAAATTGAAATACACACATATTTAAGTTAAATTTAGTCATGATATTTGATCTCTTTCTATCACTTGTGAAATGCCATTTTCTCCTAATTATTTCAGACAGGAGGACTTACGGTGTATAACAGTGTACAGTACTCATCTTAGTTTTAATTGCTTAATTACTCTTATCTACTTGTTTTCTGTAAAATGGATCTCCTATAGGGACAAAAATGTCTTTTAAGATATATGCACCAGATAATAATTATTAACTGTGGCTGTTAAAAATGTTTTAACTGTATTAAATTGATAAAAAGTTTTTGTGTAAAAATCTGAAAATACCTTACAAAAGCTATTCAGTAGTGATTTAATTTATTATTGAGTTACACTGAAATCTGATAAAACTGCACAAATTCTTCTTTCATGAATTTAACCTCTTGGAAAAATGTTATTCACCATCTTTGGTAAAAGACATCAACTGAAATACTTGTCAATTGCTATAACATGTAAAAGCAAAGAGAAAGATGTAACTTTAATTATGTATTTATAGGTAAGTATTAGTATGCTTGTAAAAAATTAGAATAGTTTCAAAGGAAAAAAATGTTTTGTTTCATTTGAAATCATGGTAAAAGTTCGCCCATTTTATTCCTTAGGATGCTTAAGTAGTCACACTAAAATTGTGCTTTTTTAGTAATCCATACAGTACCATATTAACTGGTTTTAGAACAAATGTATTAGCTTTAGTTGTAAGTTCCTTTGCATTCTTGCTGCTGCATCATCGCATGGTACGAAAGTATCAGTTTTCTGCTGCTACATCTGGTAGTGATCCTGCAAGTCAGTCTATATGAATCTTCAGATCTTACTGTCTTACTTAAAGAGATGATTTCCTCCTTCACATGAAATTCTTTGATACATAAAAGTATCTTTCTTTTTTATTCCAAGAGCATACAGGAATGTCCAGATAAAGAATCGTTACCTACTTTTTTTCTAAGCGAAATTTCCCTCTACCAAATCCCTGTTACAAGATCGGCTACTTTTCTGGCAAGACTACTATCCCAAATAGAACTGCAAATAATAATTAATTCTTATACACAACTTTTCTCCATAGAGAAACACTTACGTAACTCAACTTTGTGTGTTTCAACATGAAAATAATTAGATATTGCTATAAATTTCAAATATGTAATGTTTTTCCCCCAGAATATGCTATTTAATTGCCAATCTTATACAAAATAGTACAAGTAAGCAGTTTCTTCTGTGATAGCCTTAATACTGTACAAACACTGAATTGTTCAGAAAAAACTTCTGTCTTGTGCTAAAGCTGAAGTTTTCCTGAAAAGCATTATTTTCACATAGTAATATTTCATTTGACACTAATCTGCTTTAGCTTCCATTTACTACTTAGCAGTTGTGGGGATACATATAGAGTGAAAAATAACCTTAATAGACCTCTACATAAGCCTCTGTGTTAACTAAAGCCTCTATGAGTTCAAAAACACTTTAAAATTAATCACTGATCCACAGTGCATGCTCTCTACTATTAAGAAAGTTATGAGTTTCCTTATTTTGAATGGCTCTGAAACTTATAATCATTTCAGATATCCTTTGAGCAAATGATACAAATTTTTCTTGCTAAGAACACCAAAAAACAGTTATATGAAATTAGACTACAACTGTGTAAGAAGAAATAGTTGCTTAACCTTCCTGTATTTATATCTTCACTGTAGTGAAGATGTGATATTTACATAAGTTCTGCTAAAACTTTTGCCCATTAAAAATGTTAAACTGCATGTAATCTGATGTATTTCAAAGAACCTAGTGCTGTGTAGCTTCAGTCCCCTGTGTATTTTTCAACTGTGCAGGCACGGAGCTGTGGAGGGGCTCTGTATGTTAAAGACCAAGCAGAAGAAGTAACAAAACCAAATGTTAATTTTCAGTCAGTGTGGGCTTCAAAAGGTAAAACTCTACTCTTAATATATGAGGATACTCCAACTAGAGCAAATAACCACAACTCCATAAAGTGGGACTCACATTTTACTAATTAATGTGAAAATTGACAGAAATCTTCACAGAAGCTTTCACAGAGGATATTTTTGTTTGTTTTGCTCCTTTATGCATAGCAAAGCAGTATCTACTATCACTTTCTGAAAAGCTTTGAAGATTACACGAGGAAAACAGACAGCATGAACTAATTTCCACTTTGCTATTATCTTGCTTCAAAAAATGTGGCATTGACAGCCCCACTTTGGGAAGTAGCTGCACTAAAGCGATCCATATTTTGAAAAACATATGTGTTGTTATGCAAGAAATTCTTCCTATTGGCCTGCCAGGAAGAAGGCTATACTCCAGATTGTAACAGAGGAGTACTGAGGGGAAAGAAATAGAAAGTGACCGAATCTTCTTCAGAAACATAAGGCATTGGACTGTCATCTACATAGGTTAATGATAAAAGGTAAAGGTAAGAGGAAGGATACTGCCACTTTGAACATAGTGTATTCTGTGAAATTATTAGGAGGAGAATTGAAAAGCATTGTAACATAAGTGCATGAAGAAATTGAAACCAAGAGTAGATGGTCCAGATTTCTCCAAAAAAATGCAAAAGCTTCTGCCAATGCATACTCTCTCCAAGGGTTTCAGAGAAACACTGAAAGGCCTTGTGCAGTTCCCAAAACAGGCAGGGATGCCAACAAGGACATATGCCTTGGATCAGTTGGGGCCCAGCAGGGGAAGACTCCTCAGCAGTTTTTCCTCCCTGCCTGCTGAAGAGATTAAATTCCAGCTCCGAGAATCCAGAGCAAGAATACCCTCATTAATCTTCCCTTGGCTGAAATCAATGGACAACAGTTCCAAGGATTTTACTATTTTACCTGGTTTAGGGGGTATCGGTGCAGTAATCTTTTAAGAAAATGGAGGGAGATGGAAGTAGTAAAAACATCTGCTTGTCTTAGCTGATGCAAAGTGTTCTCTCTCACAATTTTATCTCTTGACTATTGAAGTTCTGTTTTCTAGGGTCAGATACACTTAACACTCTCAAGGACCGACTGTAAGTAGTAAAAATAATGAGATAACCACAGTATACTTCTTGTCAACCACCAGACAAAAACAAACATGCTCTGCTCTAGTATGACAGGAAATCTGTATTTTTTTCATGTCCTGTCTGAAGTTACCTATTCTCAGATCGTTTAATTTATAGCACATGCATTCTGTACTACAGCTGGTAATTAAAACTTACATTTTCCTTCTTCATTCCTGCACAGCACCTTGGTGTCATCTGTACTCTGTATAACTTCAAGAAGCTCTCCTGGTTTAATCTGCAAGTCTTTAGATCCCCACTTTTTCTGGGGCAAATCCTGGACAGTGGTCGTTGAGTAAAGAACTTTGATTTCACCTTCAAACTGTAAAAATGAAATAAAAAGATGCCAGATAAAGAGCATTAATGTAGAATTTATGATCATGCATTTTTATAGCAACAAATTCTCATTTATTACTAGATTTTTTGAAAGTCAGGCAAATAAATGTCTATGCACTTGAAAATGTTTAAATACTGTTTTTACAAATAGTAGTACTTTACTTGTTAAGAGCAAACTGATTGTTTACAAAGTACAGGATATACATTAGAGAATACTATATTAATTATATTTTAGGTGAAGGAAACTTACCTTGAACTTTTTTCTGAACTCTTTCTCTTCTCTTTCCATCATTTTAAGCTTTTGTGGATACTTTTCATCTGATTTGCCTTTTCCAAGGCTCATAGATTTTGGTAAACTAAAACAAGAGGTTATAAATGAAATAAAATTAGTAACACTTCTGAGGTACTGACAACCTCTGTGGCAATTCCAATTAAAATGCACTTCCTTCTGCATGTCCTTAGTATGTTTCTCTTATCTAGAAAAATAACGTGCATAGTACAATGCAGATTTTATTACTGAAGAAATAAAGAGTTGAGATTATCTTGCCAGCTTTTTTTTTTTTTTTTTTGTATGAGTTCTGATGTTAATATATCTATTACAGCAGTGAACATGGAGAATATTTCAAAGCTCCTAGCTACCGCATCTGTGAGAACTTTTCATTACCAAAATAGCTTATGTAAGCAATACTCATCACTCTAGAATGTTTAAGCAAAGGACAATTTTTGTGAAGTCTAGGTATATTAGGAGAGTAGAATAACTATCACATGGCCCATTGCAGAGGTCGCTAGGGCATCTTAGTCCTTCATAAATAAATTAATCCGTTGCATCCATCATGAGAATTTGCTGCTCAATGGAATCTGCATTACATTTCAAGTTCTTTTTTTTTCTTTTTCCCCACAGTCCTGATATGTTGATTTGCACCACTGATCACTGAAAAGTCTCACTTCCTAATTACCTTTCCTGGTGCTGTACCTGGGAATTGAAAGTCAGAGCTCTGAATCGCTCTGAATCTGTTTCACTGATAGTGAATGTATATGTTTAAAGTAACTGAGATCTAAGGTGGACCATGTCCTGTTTTTATACTCCAGATTAGATTACCGTAATGCAATCTGTATGTAATTCCACTTTAGAGAAATCAGTGATAGCAGAATGTGACAAGTTGCAGTCAGCCCTACAAATGCTTATAGCACATCTGTGCTCCAGAGTCTCCAGAGATGGCTGTGAATTCCCAGTACAGGGATAAAAGTTTTCCAAGTTGAACTTCACACTTCCAGATGTGTTTCATACTGATAACATTGAGCACTATCTCCTTTTCTCAAAAAATACTGTAGCAGCCGAGATCAAGTACAGTAGTTATCTTAAAAGTCTCCAGATTTTAATAGGAAGAGGTCTGCACGCAGATAATCTACAATTAAGGATCTTTAGGTCAGACATTCACTTCTACTTCTTGTTCGTCAGAGACTGCATTTGTTGAAGTTCAAAGCATTACTATTTACAATAATAATATATATAATAAATTACTATTTATTCTGTACTCTAATGCAATTATTGTTTCAACATGTAATGTAGGTCGTTGCCAACAGCAGGGTTATAACAACCACTGGACCTGATACCACCACATACAGCATATATCCACCTATACTGAATACTTTGAAAATATATCAGAGCGTCCTGAAGATTTTTAATCAGAATAGTAATTTTCACTTGCTTGAATTCAGGCGGTGGAGGAGGGAAGTCTGAGGAATCTACATCATCATAAACATCATTGTCTCCACAATCTGAAACAGTAATAGACAGATTCAAAACTATTACACGATCCGTGAGTAGCTGTATTACAGTTCATAACAGTATAGGTAAGTTGACAAGAAGCTGCAGCAAGTCTTGTAGTTGCTCCTTGTCTGTGGGCCCTCTGTTTTGCACAATCTGCTGAGTAAAACATACGTAAGCAACCCTTTTCAGAATAAGACTCTTTATTAATAATAATAGGTATTCACTGATATTTTAATCTTCTTAAGCTGGAACAAGTTTTAGCACATGTTGGCTAATGCAATAGCCTTTAATCTTCCTTTTAATTAGTCTCTTTCCCACTGTGTTGCATCAAAGTCTATTTTTAGGATTTTATTTTAATATACACTCAAGTGCTTCTATTGTACTTTGGTCAGTGTAGCATTGCCTAGAAGTGGGCACGATTCACACATGCACTAATTTTTTGGTCACCTTATAGTGTCAAATTAGTAGAAAAGATTTTTACCACAAAAATGTACTTTGAATCACATCCAGAGCATTTGTGGAAAGGAGACAATTATTCAACTTATCAAACCCATGGCTTAAAAAAGTCATGGTGGGAGATAAAAGGTTTAGAATTCAGTTCAGGCAGCAGTCTGCAAACTTGTGAGAGTTTGCTCTTTATTTTATGGCTGAGCTGGTATTTATGTTTTCTTACAACAACACTAAAAGTGATAAAAATAACAGCAAGCATCTATGCTTTTGAACTCTCTCATTAAGAGTTACTTTTCAAATGTATCTGTTCACACATAATGTTAAATGAAAAGAAAAATTGGAATTCTCCAAGAGAAGCATCCTTTAAAAATACATTAAATTGTTCTCTAGGAAGCTTGTACTGTATCAGTACTTCCTCATCAGTGGATCAGACACATTTGAAATTCATTTGCTAGAACTGGGTAAGTAATGGGAAATCCTGTTTCCTTCCTTGGGTATCTTTTTGTGACTAGGACAATACAGAGTAATATATATGTACGAAAAAAAATCAGTAATCAATATGGGGACAGAACAATACACTATTAATTACCTTTTCCAAACTGCTTTGTTGAAGGAGACCTGCTGGAAAAAAAAAGAAAAAAAAAAAAGAAAAAATATGGCCTTATATATTTATATCACATTTCACATTATTTACAACACTTACAACAGAAGGGCTCCAAGTAATGTCCAGGCATTTTTAAGACCTGCTGACACGTCAAGGACCAAATGTTTTTTACTACTGAAAACTAGCTTAGAAGTGAATGAGAAAAGATTATAGTAAAAACATTAATTGCTGACCTAACCACTAAGCAAGCTGGGAAGAAGATAATTTTTGCATTTTTCTCCATGAAACATTATTCCTAAAATCTGGATTGGCAGAACTAGATTTACCTGTTCATGTCAGCTGTATTGCACTGGTGAGCAACATATATTTAAATAGAAAACAGAAGAATCTGGTATCACCAGAGTGGAAGAGATGATGCATTATTTGAGCATTTTTTGTAAAGTATGTATTTTTTGTTACATTTTAGTTATTAGGCTCATGCAGCAAATATCGCGTGTAAGCATACTAATGACATTGTGAAGACAAGAAGAAAAGAGATCAATGTTTTTTGCAGAAAAATATTGTTCTGATTTGCAATTTGGTGCATGATTCATTAGGCTGCAATGAGAACATGTTAATAGCATGTGATCAATGCTTTATTAGCATTAGTTAATATGCACTGTGATTTCCTAGCAGACTCTTACAACAAATCTCCATTATCTTCTGCCCCATTGACTTTGGCTGTTTTTTCTCGTACACTTTTCTTTTTGACATCTTTGACCTTTAGTTTCTTCAAGATTCCCCAGGACCAGATATCATTCTTATCTTCATCCTGTGATACGGACCTTTGGAGTATGCATGCGATTATCACAATGTAAAATGTAACATTCCTTTCAAAATCTTCAGTTGTAGTTTTTCATTGATGTACACAGTTCTCATTAATGTCAACACTGTATATACCAAAAAATGAGGATGCTTAACTATCTAAAATGCTGAAGTATGTATTTTAGATCTTCCATAGAGACACATTTATAGTTGTAGATATTCATTGACCTGATTTTTGACTTGGTGCTATTATGCAGCAAGCTAAATCTTTTTTATGTTATTTTCATTTCAGAGTTATTTGGTCTACCTGGTGATTTTCAAGATTGCAGCTTCTTTTGCTGATATACTAAAATTAGTTACAAAATGAAACTTCTCCTAAAGACCAAAGAACTTTTTATTTTTCAGATTCCTGTATCACCTGATGTATAGTCACTTACTGGTAAGCCCAACTGTTGCTAATTACTGTGTCAAATTTTAAGAAAATAAAAACCAAAATTTAAACACAACTTTTTAAATGATATGAAAACATACCTAGAAACAGCATCTGTGTCATCAACGCCATCGTAAATTTCTTGATCGGAAGGAGGAGGTGGGAACATCTCTTTAAGAGATCAGAAAGTTAATGTATTTATATTTAAGGCTTCTGAGCATGGTACTAATGACTGGCCTCAGTGCGTCAGATTTCTGAGCAAAGTGTGCAATATCCTTATAAACTGAGTTTTTCTGTAAACCTGCAGAGCCTAATTATTAAAACAGTAGTTGAGACGTATCCCAGTCAGGCACATCATCCAAAGCACTTAAACATGATGACGTTGCCATTAACAAGAGCATGAATAGAGAAAACAAATGGATTTACACTGTATTTGATGAAATTCTCAGCAGTTGGTTTTGTCCCATTTGTGTGATGACTTTTTCATGTGTTTCTGTTTGTGATGATTGAGGATGTCAGACCAGCACTTCAAGCAGGTGACACCTTGTGTTCATCCACGGGACTTACAGGCAAGTGCAATGCAAGCTCCCCATTTTGGCCACAGCTCTGACCTCTCAGCCCCACCTTCCTCAGTGCAGGGCTAGCTCAGTTTCCATACCCATTTCCAGCTGCTGGTCAGACCTCTTAGTGAAATCTGTACTTATCTGGCAGCAGCTTCATTCAGGACTGCCAGGGGATGCTTCTCCCATGACTAGTATCTAAACTCTAAGCTGAGAAGATGAGCTGTGCTCTTGTGATCAACAGAGAATGCTACATAAATATATGTGTTACCAAAGAGGAAAATGATTTGAATGTGTGTTTTTGACAGTGTGGAACTGCTGCAGATTTAAGAGTTAGGACTCAAGAGTATTGCCAGAACTGACATACTCCTTGAATTCGCCATCAAAATTCACTTTAATTGGTAATATCACTGGCTGTTTCAGAAATGGATTTATCTGGCACAAAATCTTAAGCTCACATTAATTTGTTCTATATAATAATGTTTTCTAGTTATATCTTTCCTGTTTTGCAAGGTCATTTACCTTTTCATAAAAATACCTTAATTGTTGGTAATCTAGCATGCTTCCAATTCAAGCATGTGAAGACAAATTAATTTTCATCCAAGTTAACACAGGTGTAAGAAAGTGAATTTGGCCACTACAGTTCCTTGTTTGTTGTTTGTTAGCTAATGCATGGCATGATGGTGGGTAACTACTGCATTATTTGGAAGCTGCAGGGGCCTGGATCTGAAGGTAAGCAGTATACAGAAGCAACTTCCCCTAAAAGCACACAAAGAAACTTACTTCCAGCTCCATTTCGACCACCATTCTGACTGGAAAAACAAAAACAACAGATGTTTTAGAGAAAATACTAGTTATTTGAACAAACAAGCAAACGAACAAACAATATAACACATCATGATTACCTCCTGCTTCAATTGTTCTTAGTTCTAAACCTCTTGGCTTTGGTACTCGTTTGTACTACTGGCTGTGCACTACAAATTCTGTGCTGAAAGCTCAGGCACAGGCTTGTATGTACTGTGGGGGCTGCAACTGAACGTGCCACTTCTGTTTTTCTGTCTGCAGAATGTGCGCTGACTTCTTACAGTCAAAAAGAAGGTGCACTCTCAGTAGTGCTAAAGAAAGTATGTCATCTAATCGATAAGTGAATTAGCTCTTAGATGAGGGGAGATTAACTTTTTGCAGAGTTAGGTAAAAGAATTTAGGAAAATTTGCTCTGTTTTTGTCTTTGGAAATAGTTCATTACAAAATAGATGGAAAAGTGTTTTCAAATGTCATTCACAATAATTCACAGTGGAATACGTCAGAGTTATCAACGGCCACTTCAGTTAATATAAAAAGGAAAGGGACACAGCATTTGCAGAGATCAAAGCAAATTTAAAGTTACAGATAGGTGCACATTTTCATATCTGCAGCATACTTAAATCTAATTGTTATTAATTGATACTATTGGAAATTTATGGCATTTTCACTTAATTTCAAGGAGGTGCAAACCATTGTCTAGAGCTGTTAACTAATTATGTATTCAGAAAGGATTTTTTATTGCTGTTGATGTCATTAAACTGAAGAACAAAATATGGTTTATTATTACAGGATAATTTGAGTTGGAATAGATCTTAGGATGTCATGTAGCTCAATTGGATGGAAATTATAACCTGACTGAACATATCAGAGTGCATCCACACCCTTTAGATTCACACCTTATGAGGCAATTTTCATGGGATTAAATAGTCAAAAAAATTATTGCTCAACTTCTTTTAATAGGTGATGCTTTAAACCTCTGACTGCATGTTTCTAGAATTTCAAGGATTCTGTATTAGCGTGATGTTCTAACTGTAACTGAAAAGAACCTGATGGGCTCAAAGTTGCTCAGATTACTTCCAAGTCAAAGTCTTATTTAAACTTATACATCAAAGTGAGATTTTTCTTAAACTCTTGTGCCAGGATCTACCGAGACACAGTAGCCCTAGTCATTTATAATTTTGGAATATTAATAATGCTCCTGATAATGAGATAATTCTATTTGGTAAAGAGGCTTTTTTTAGTGTGGCATTCTTACAGTGGTTTAAAAACATGTTGATGCACTTGAGACATTCCAACAATTCATGCTCATGAACTGAACAGAATGCTATTAATCACTAGAGAAGATAAAAATGTCAAAATAAACTTAAAGGATTTAATGAAGATGAGCCATTCATTCAGCCATGCAGGTTCCTTTATCTATTATTTCAATATGCAACAATGTAAGTATTCTTGTCTGCTTTTGAAATTGAGAAATTTGAGGAATTTGAAAAAGGACTGAGGTAGCTGATTGTAAGACTTGACATAGTGGAATGGGTTGGCCGGAGAAACTTCTGTGATGGAAGCACCTAAAACTTTGAGTATCTAAGCCCCAGAATAACTCAAATAACTCTTCTGACTACCATTACTATGATATGAGACCAATGCACATTGAGGGAAAGTGATACTGAGCAACCTGCAAAAATACCAGATGCAAAGCCGTATTAGTTACCTAAAGAATGCCAACCCAAAGGCAGATCTTCAAAGTGCTGCTTTTGGAGCTCATGAGGCAGTTCTAGCAGCTGAGGATCATCTGTGACCCAGCCAGACAGCTGTGGTCATTTTAATCCAGCCAAGTCTCTAACCTAAGGTGCTGGAAGCACTAAAATCAGATATAACAACTGAGTGTTACATGACAGTAGTCCTGCATACTGAAATCCTCCATGCTTATACACAGACCTCTTATCTGAATTCCAGTGTATGTGATTCTGCACAGGATGGAGAATGAGCACTGGTTTGTTACTTCATGCGACAGACACAGACTCTCATATTAAAGCCAGGTAACAGAGTTACTACATTCATTCTGGGCTATATGATAGCTCCAGCTCCTGTCACAAGATCGTAAATATACTACCTTGCCAGCAAATTTGGCATCATCTGGAGATGGCCATTTCCTAGATGCAGATATCTTTGACATTAAAAGCACGGCACACTGAAGTACAGAGACTGTGATGGAGCGCTGCATTTGCAAATGCGTGGGGACTGTTTAACTGTAGAAGTTGATCTAGGGGAAGATGACCTTGCTCATGACAGAGGAGTTGGAACTAGATTATCATTCAAGGTTCTGTTTTGCAATTCTATTTTTTTAACAAAAAGTTAAACAAAATGTAGCTCATACTCATATCAGGGAATAAATAAATAAATAAATAAGGAAGAGAGGTAGTAAGGCTTATCAGTTGAGAGCAATGACAGTGATAAAAAGTTCTCCAACATAGTGACTGCTTCTGGAGTCTTTCATTCTTACATGTTAGAAAAGGTAGTATATGACTTCAGGAAACAGAGCAAGGAATGAGAAGGAGGGGAGAAAATAGCAAATCCTGCAGGTTTTATGTTTTGTTTCTTTCGAGTTGTGATTGTACACTATGGACAGCAAGGATTACTCCTGAGGATGAGTGCTTATAGATAGTGAACCACTGAGTCCATTCTTATTCTTTTGACTACTAAATGAATAGTATTTGGTCACATGTTTTTGATATAAATAATTGTTTTTGTTTTATGAAAACAGTCTACTTGGTAGTAGTAAAACTTCTCCTGTTTAGTCTGGCTGAGATGATTCCTTTTAATGTGTTCCTTATACATACCTGCTAATACTGTCCTGCTCTCCAACATCATCATATACTTCTTGGTCAATCTCTGGTTGTTTCACAACAGCTTGTTGCTTTGTTTTTAAAGAATCATAATCAATTTCCACTACAGTTGTTTTAATGTATCCATCTAAATAAATGAAACCATGTTAATTACAGAGTTTTATAGCCTGCAGTAAAAAAAGCGTTTTAACAGAAGATACAGAATCACTGATTATGTTATATTGGATCATCTTTGAAAACAGTCAGAGAAATGTGTCATTCTATCTGCCTACATATGTACAAATCTCATCAGCTTGTGTCAAGTTAACTTCATCTTTGCTTCTTGGCTACAGCCTAAGAATTTCTTTAGCAGGCTCCAAAAAGAGAGCTGCTACATGCTCCCTATCAGTTGACTCTGGGTCCACTGCAATCTTTTAGCATGTTTAAGGACAGTCCATGACGAAGGTTCCAACATGATATAAGGAAGGAGAGACACTTTGTCCAGTTGTACATACTCAAACTCATAATGAAATTGTCATTTCAGTCTCCTCAAAATTTAAAGCAGTGCTTTTAATAACTTTCACTGATTTTAATGACTTCCACTTGTGGATCATCTTTTAATATCTTTGCTACACCTCAGGAGCCAGACAATCAGTCCTTCATGATAGTCATGGGTCCACTGAATTTATTAATACAAGCAGAAAAATGTTTTATATTTCAGAAAAAAAAAAAAAAAAGATAAATCAGTGGAAAAAAAACACTTAAAATAAGATCTTCTATTCTCTGCTTCTAATTTAGGCATCCATTTTATTTCTCTTAGAACAATTTGAAAAAGCCAACATCATTACTTGCATGGAGCCAAATTCTGATGTTATTTTGAAAGATGATACTGAATTACCTCTCAACAGGTCCTTGAAGATCCAAGAGTATGCCTAGAATAGTTCCTAACTTCTTGTAGTGCCTGCTACATTATGTTGTACAGTAACTTGCTGCTATGTACTGAGACCTGCATGCCAGGTAAGGACAGCAGGGCTCATGGTAGTAATTACTGCTTTGATGATCAGTGGCTCAGTCTTGTTAAGGTGACTCTTTTGGTGAAGTGCTGCATGCACACACATGTTCCCTGTCCTGTAGTGAAAACATTCAAGAGCACAGTGAAGAAGCAGAACTTACAACATCCTTTTATCCTGCCCAGCCACTTTCCTTCTGGGTTGTCTGTTAGACGAATGATTTCAATTTGATCCCCCTGCTTGACAGTCAGTTCATTCTTTCCTCCCTTGCTGTCAACACAAGCCCGTGCCTGATGAAGGACTTGGATGGGTCCTGTTAACTGCGGAGAAAAAAAGCAACAAAAGAAGTCACAGTTGTAGAAAAATGCAGTTCTTTCCCAAACATTCACACAAAAGATAACATAACTATCATGATGATTATTTGTTTCATTGGCATTTAAAATACTGTAGGCAAATACAAAGACATCACCCCTACTTCCAACTTATGAACTACAGTTAAAACTGGGTGTTAAAAGAGAAGGCAACCAGATAGTAAAAAACAGCTGAGTGAGTGGCAGAAGCACAGTAACAGAGGACTAAAATCAACCTGTGGAACTGTTTCTCACAGAACAGATTTGTATTTGATTCTACTGGGCAGCTCCATGTAGTTACAGCAGAATTACTGATACGAAGAAACCTCCAGTAAGATTAAGAAAGTCTTCCACATAAATTATGTGCAGAAAATTATGCTTTATAAGTGATCCTACAAGCACCTACAAGTGATCACTCAGTTTGGTAGAATTCAGGAGTCTCTTTATGTATGCTGAAAGGAAACTTGTTTGGATTTTAACTTGTGTGGCTTTTTCAGTAGTGTTGCAGTAGGGTTTGGCTGGTAACAACTGTAGGCTATCTTAGGAAAATCTATTCCTATATGAAGTAGATATCTGGCTAACCCCCGACAAACATCAGCTAAACCACTATTAGCTATTAATATTTTCCTTTAATATTTTCCTTTAATGTTTGCTCTTTGGCTCATATCAGTCTTTCGTCACCAGTGCAAGGCCATGATGTGGGAGAATCACTATGGCTTCACTGTGTACAGTGCATAATAGAAAGGGAGAAAAATAAATCCACCTACTATGTACAATGAAACCAAAAGCAACAGAGTAAGAACATCACACATAAGCATCAATTAAAAGAAAATGATTGGCAATTTTGTAAACTGTGGGAGCGTGCTGACCACCGGCTCCATAAAAATGGCAGAAAGCAGAAAGAACTACCTCATAACTCAGATCCTAGGCTCTGACAGTAACCATAGCTCCCATACAAATGTACCATACTCCCTTCCTTAGGCTGGAAGTCCCTTTCAGATGGGGACCAAGACAAGGGCGTTGTGATGCTATTTAGTGCTGAAATCTCTTAGAGGCTCAATATGGTTGTGTCTAGCTTGAGTTAAGCAAACAGTATGAAGTATATGGTCCCCAGTTTCACTTTTATAAAGGACTTTTGGTGCTATTCAGTGAAGGAAAATTATTTTAAACTAGGAAGTAAAGAGAAATGCTTTTAAGGCTTTTTTTCTATTCATAAGTAGAACATAAGGGAATTTAATGAAAACAGCATAAACACTGAAAAAACATCTTTGTCTTCAGTACAGAGTCTGAAATCAGGCGTATGCCAAACATGAAAGGGTAGATGAAAACTGTACTCAGGATTTATCCAGGTGCTTGACCTACCTAGCACAACAAATACACATCTTAGCTGTCTGCAAACTATTTTGAACTCAGCAATGCTAATTAATGAATCTTAAATGTCTTTGCCCAGTTTACAAAACAAAGTGCTTACTTTGAACTTCTTCCTTATTTCCTGCTCTTTCTTTTCTTTTTCCTTTTGTTCTTTCTTTTCTTGATCCAGTCTTTTCTTTTCTTCCTTTTCCGACCTCTTTTCTTTTTCCTTTGATGTTCTAGAATTAAAAGCAATGCAAATCTCAATAGAGGTTTCTTACCCAATGTCAAAAAACAGCTACATGTGACAGAAGACTACTTCTCCCAGTGAAACCAAAGATGCAAATTCTAAACCCAAATGCGGTTGCAAAAAATTGAAGAAGCAGCCCTCTCTCTTATACCACATACATAATTTAAAGTAGCTGTTTTTCAAGAGGACAATGTAGCAGAAAGGAAGGCCAGCTCTGCAGGTGCATGTCCAAACATCTCTGAACTGATTTTGGTAAGGAGGCTTGGAAACTGGCAGCAACATAGATGCCAAATACATATCCAGGCTATCAGTGGTTCACAAAACCCAAACTGAAGCCTGAACTAAAATGCAGTGCACTGTAAGTGTGCCTAATACACCAGGGTTCATTGCCTGTGATGCCTTGCATGCTGGATGGTACTAAGAGGTGGGGATGTAAGTAGGACTATAGTTAAAGCTTTGCAGGTTGCTGCCAGAAGATTGGCTGGAAGAGCTATGTTCTGCAGATCCTACGGAACCAATTGAGTGAGGCTCCCTCTTGCTTTATCAATACTTTTGCTGAATTGATGTGTTCAAATTAAAAAATAAAATTAAAAAAAAGGAAGATCTATAAATAAAAATACTAAGTGAATGAGGAGTACTTCTTTTGGCTATATTGCTTCAAAACTAACTATCTTCAAAGGGAACCCAACAAGAAATTACTGCTGAAAGTCATTATACTTCTGAAACGATATTTTGGTGTAGGAACTTTAGAATCTTATTTATTCTGAAGGAATTAGAATGTTTCTTTACATTCTGGCATATAATGAATCCCATATATTTAGCCATTAGTGCATTGAGACACTCCTCAAAATGAAGAGCTAAAGGGTGAGCAGAGCTCTGATTTCAGCTCTACAGAAACGCCAGGAGTCTTGGGCCATGAGAGTTGTAAATCCAGCCAAATGAAAGAAATTCATTTATGTACATTTATATACAAAGCAAGAGCAGCTAAAACAAAAGGATCTCCCTGGTACAATAATATTGAGAGGCCTGACCTTACTTTTGCTCCTAAGCTGTAATTCGAAATAGTGATTCGTACATGTTCATTAGATCAGAAATCAGACTTTCCTGTTACCTAGCTCACAGTAATCACATTTTTTTATTACAGAATTTTTTTTCACCCCAGGGCATATAAGATATAAGTTGGAAAAAAACTGTGAACAATCTGACTTTCTCTAAGTGAAATGAATGAATCCAATAATGCTTGGCAGCTATTGCACTGGAATCACACTATTGTGCCAGATGAAGCACCCTTTGTAGGAAGCTTTTGCTAATAAAGATACAATAGGCTACAGGGTTTTAAATTAATACCTGATGTCATTTATGTCCTCGTACATCTCGCCATCACTTCCTTGGTCCTGTAAGACAAAAATCATTTTCAGTGGCTTAGATACATCTGGAAAGAAGAAAATACACCTGTTATATGAACTTCATATGGACTATATAAAAACATTTACAGCAAGATGTAAATTCAGATGTTCTCAAGTCTAGTTACTACATTTTCAGACTCATTCTTTTTTTTTTTTCTCCTGACTTTATATTTGTGATATCCCAGTTATAAAGCCCTGAATTGTTACTATTACAGTAACAGTAGCACAATGCTTCATCAAAAGTGGCTGTTTTAATTGCAATGCTAGTCCTGGAAAGCCTTTATCTGCAGTGATTACTGCACTGCCATGATGAAAGTGCCATGGTTAATAGCAGCAACTAATATCCCAGTCTGGAATGCTTGGGATCAAAATGGAAGACAGATTAGGTACTTGAATACATCCAGACAAACCTGTGCTTAACTGATGCAAGTCATTCACTACCAAAATAGAACAGGGCCCTTGTTTCTGGGAAAGCTCAGTAAGATTAAATGTCAGAAGAAATAAAAGGGTTTTTTTACACTCTTTTTTTGTTAAACACTCTTTTGTTAAAAAATAAAAACCAAGTACTGGTGTCAAGCCAGCTTTGATAATTAGCTCCAGGTTGCTCTGCTTACACAGTTTTATTTATGCCCTTCATAATAAGTACTTCTACAGTTTATTATCAATATGGCTGGATTAGCTCCACAACTAATTTTCTAATTAATTGGAAGTAACTTGCAGTAAAATGAATAAATTTATCAGGGAGGATAATGCTTACCCCATCTTTATTTCCAGGACCTGTTTAACAACAACAAAGAAAAAAAACCAACACAGGATATTATTTTTTTGCTGTTCGAAAGCAATCCACTCTAGAGTTAACTCTTTACAGACTGCTGAAACATAAGTGGCATTAACTGGAAATAAATGTAGACTCTTGCTTTCAATTAGGATCTGAGAGTGAAAAAACCAGAGGTTTTCAAGGTATTTTTTCTTGTACTTTGTAAAGTAGACATACCTGCCATAAACATTTTATTTCACCTGCTGTTTTCTGAAAACTAGCATATTTCACCACATTTTTAGAGGTGAAAAATTTGTTTTCAAGATTCTTCAGTGACACTAATATACCTATGCAATTTTTATGCAAAAATGTCCACTTACACAAGAAAATTAACGTTAAAAAAAGACAAATCAGTGTGAGCAGACCACATAAAACTTTCTTGCACCAGCCCTGCAGCTGAATAGGGGATGCAAAGGTTTTCCTGTTAAGCCGGTGTCTGCCCTGGGCTGCAGGAGAAGGAAATCTGAATCCACCATTTCCTCCTCCTTGCACAGGTAAGCTATGTAAGCAAAGAGCTTGGGCTCAGATGCTGCTCCAGCACCCACACTGCTGTACAGCACAGATGGCCATCACGCTGAAGGACACATATTGTGCCTGGCACAGACTGATGCCTCCAGAGCAGAGATCAGAAGGCAGTCTGAAATTCTTTGTGTTGCAATCTGCTTGCTTCTCTGGCTGCTCCTGGTACAACACTGCCACTCACTGCCTCTTACAGAAGGCAGATTAGAAAGAAAAAACACTAAAAGCACAATGAATATATTATTATTTTCTTAATCAAGTATAAAACAATGTCTGTTTCACCAAGGCATACAGCTTCGGCTCTGAACGAACAGCATTCATTTGGGCTCTGATTTTCAAATCTGCTAATTTGCTGTCCCAGTACATTTAACAGAACAACAAAATAAATACGGAGTAGGGGAAGAGTGTGGAATAGAGATATTTAAAGCAATTCTTGAGAGTATGTCATATTAATTGTAAAACAGCTATATGAGAAAAACTTCTTCACTCATAAAACTGCAGTACCAGCATAATCACATGAATCATTCACGAACACATTAAGATAAATATGCCTTTGCTTCTCTTATAAATGCAATTTACTTACAGCTTCATATAGCTGTTGTTAATTAGAACTTACCCATCCTACCCTGTAAAAGAAATTCAACGTCATCATAATTTTCTTCAATGGCTGGATTTCTGTAAATAAGAAAAAGGGAACATGTGAAAGCTTTAAAGATGATTTTATGATTGTATTTTCATATAACTATTTTTTTCTGGTGCTTCTTCAATTATTTTACAGAATGGCAAGGCACTCTGTTAAGCCTCATACGTTCCTTAAGTACTCGTGCAGTTCCCTAAGCTGCTCTTCCTGCGATTCGGTTTCTCACACAAGGGACACCTTGATCCGGAGTATGAATGGAGAAAATGAGCTGAAGGCACTCAGATACCATGGAGATGGGTGCGGTATGAGAAATACAGTAGGCAGATGGGCTGACCAACTGAGTGTGTTGGTCATCTTAATCATGCTCACAGGTGAGGGCTTCTCACACAAAGTACAAGCAGAATGCCAGATGTTTTGCACAACGTTAAATATAGCTCCACAAATTGCTCCCTGACTTGTATGGCAAGTGCAAACAAGGGACGGGAGAAACCACATCGTAAGGGTGGGCCGGGTACAAGAGCTCTGGTGTTGGATCTAAAAGTGCTCTCAAACCGAAAGAAGTAAGAAACTGAAAATTTAGCCGGCAATTACATTGGAGATCTCTAACTTTTGAACACTTTATAATAGTCGAATGAAGACTATCGACCCGAGCATTCATTCATCAGAGAGGCGTCACGGGAGCGAGGAGGGGAGAACGAGAACCCCCTAACAAACACCAAGCGGGGCCGCCGCCACCAGGGGGGGACGCAGTGCGGCTCCCGGGTGCAGCAGAGCCCAGGCGCTGCCGGGCGCTCCCGGCTCCCCATCTGTCTCCCCGTCTGCTCTTTGAAGCCAGCTGCTGGCAGGAGGAGAGCTCGATATTATCCTCGGCTTGTTTCCGGTCACTTTGCACGCCGTAAAGAAGTGCTCTCTCCTCTTCGCTGCTGTAGGTTTCCCGATTAGCTGGCGGCTTTTCGAAGAAGGGCGAAGTAAGACCGAGGCGTAACAGAGGCTTCTAATATTATCGCGGGCGGCCAGGCTGCGCTCCGTCGTGCGGTTTCACACCCACCGCTGAGCTCGGTTCCTCGCGCTCGCACGGGGGGGTGTCAGCTAAGACAGACTGACCCTCCGGACTCTTTCCCTCCGGAAAGATACGCTGGACGGCTTGCGTTACTGACTCGGCCGACTTTCTGCAAGCATACGAAATGTACCCCTCTTTGGAGTACAAAAGCCAGCAGGGTGTCTGTCTGCTCCCTCCCCTACCGCCTTAGCAAGGGGCAGAGAAAGCGTTCTTACAGATAACGCTATATGGGGAAACAACTAAAAAATGCACAGAGAATGGAAACTTTTCCATACAGGAAGGGAAAGGGTAACATGAGCAAAATGCCCAGAAAATTGGAAAACCATCTTCAGCTGCTACTACATGAACAAATAGGCAGAAATAGGAGAGAAGACAAAGGACCTCGGATGTTAAGCTCACTTACATTGTTTCAGAGCTGGGCTTGACATTTCTGGGCGGCAGGCTGGGAGCTGCAGGGGTGTGCAGGGATGGGTGAGAGGCTGGTGGAGGAGGTGGTGCAGGTGGGGAGGCTGCTGGTGGGGAAGGGGCCATTTGTTTAAACCCTTCATTCTTAGGTCCTGAAAAGCAAACAAACAAACTAATAATAATAATAATAATAATAATAAACAAAACAGAACAGACTAAATTAACCAAGCAAACAGCTCAAGAAGCATAGAAAATGGAAACCTCCTGCCTAGAAGAATTTAATTCCTACAACAGTCCTTGAAAATGTTTTTGCAAACATATGAATAAGATACTAAAACATCAGTTTGTCCCATGTATAAGCTGTTGTGCTCTTGAATTATCATTTATTCTACAGTGCGCCTGCAATGATCAGTGCCACAGAAGCAGTGATGCAGTCTTGCTGGAGTTTTCCTTGCTCAGAAACAAAGTTTAAAGGGAAAGGATGAGAAATGAAAAGACTTTTTGGTATCAATTAAAAGCTGTACAGATCTCTGTACAGCTTGAAGTAGATTTGTAATGTCAGCTATAGAAGATAGGATCTAGTTTTTTAACTGGCAAGCCTATACTAGAAAAGATGCAATGTGGGAAGTTACACCCTCAACAAACAGGTGTAGTCTTAAAAACAAGATGATGCAGTGCAGGAGAAACACAGAAGCCATAATTATGTGAGTAGACTGCACTGTGTACTGCACTGAATGTGTGCTCCACACAGAGGCTGCAACCAAAACTGTTCTAACTATTGCTTTGAGAGTTCACATTCAGAGAAGTTACTCACACATATTCAAATAAAATCACTGCCTGGATGCCATGATGTTAAGCACAGGATTATATTTTAACGAGCATTAGTGGATTAAAAGCTACCCATAAGGAATTCTTCCCAGCTGTATGGAGCGAAGTCCAGCAAAATCTGAGAAAGAGAGGAGCAGGAGAAGAAAGGGTATTCACATGTCAGTTAAACCAACAACAATCAAAAAGAACCCTTTTGTCTTCTGGAGGTCCTCTTCAAGTTTACACCTGTGTAGTGAGATGAATATCTTGTTGTGAACAGAGTAATCTTCCAAATTGTTGGGAAAAAGAAGTGGCTTAAACACAAAGCAAGAAGTATTTAGTAGTGGTTAATATCCAGACTGAAACAGTGTAAGACTACTGAAAGAGCTTTCCTTAGCTGTTTGGGAATTTGGGAATTTGAAATTCAATGGAAAAAGTTCTCGTACAGATTCTCTTTTTGTAAATTTATAAAATAGAATGTTTAATTTATCCATAACGCATGCACAAAAAAAAATGTTAAGAATCCCATTACCTGTCTCTTTTGGGATGATGTCATTTTAACAATATCGTGAGACAGAACGAGGAGCCTGAAGCCTATTGTATTACAGAATAAAACGGTGGGCAATATAAATGTTCTGTGCTTCATTTCTCCACTTCAGATCATTGTTGGCGGCAGAAAACAGGAGTTATTCTTATCTCCTTGCATTAGTAGACATGAATGTGACAGGGTAGTTGCTATACTATGTTTATTTTACCTATTTTTGGTAACAAATACCAGAACAAACTGAATTTGTCATGTACCCATCTACAGTGCTGGCCAGCCATTTGCTGCTCAGGGCTAGACATGTGTGCATGAACAGTACTTCTTCCTGATAACCTCCTAGGCTGTAACTGCTGTGAGTTTAGATAAGCTAAACGCGGCTTCTGCATGTTAACAGTTCTCAAAAAAATTATCTTCCATGGACTTGTGCAGTCTCTCCTTCTCCCCATGCAAGTGCACTGTAATGACAATATGCTGGCAAGAATCACAAAGTCTACATCAACCCATGTTGGGAAGGGGGTGTTAGGACTACCTGACCCAGGCTTCCCTCCAAGCAGCCAGTAAGTATGGCTTCTTCATGGCTTCTTGAAGCAATACCCTGAACATACATATCAACAAAAGTAAATTTGATGAGATTAAAATGTGTGAGATCATAAAATTTTAATGCCGAAAGTGCAGTTTTCTTCAAAAGCCTAGCCCCAGAACAATGTGAAATAACACCGAGTACTGAAGAGACTGCAGCAGTGATAACGGGCACCAGCTGGAAAGAGCCAAAGTGGGAATGATTAGAGATCTTGAAAAAGTGAATTCCTGTGACCTGAATGAATTGTGTTATTTTGGTGAAGATGACAAGACTGAAGGAAAGCAAAAAAGCAAAAAAGAATACATAAAAGTCTCTGGCAAAGTAAAACAGTTCTTTTTTAAAAAATAAAAGATAAAAACAACAACAAAAATCACCCCCTGCTTCTCCATTTATATGGCAGAGAAGACTAGAAGTAATGAGCTTAAAGACCAGCACTAGCTATTAGGAAGCATTTTCTAGTTTTCCTGGTTTGGAACTGCAGGCAACCAAGTATCAATCTAAGGAGCATTAGCAAAAAGCTTTTTTTCTCAAAACTTTCTAATTGTACAAAGATTTCTTAAGGGTAGAACTCAAAAAAAATTAGTGTTTTTGTCTCAAAATTGTTATGTATTAGACCTTCTTGTCACATCACTGTTCTTTTTCAGCTGTCAAGTTGTTTATCCTCTGTCTTATCTAGATCTTTTTTTTACAAGGCACTGAACTACTTAATTTTCAGTTCACTTTTATTTAATTCTCATTTATCTGTTCGAAGTCTCTATTCATTGAGACTACCAGCAATAATCCCTTATTTCTCCAAAGTCCCTGATGAAGATTAATACAACTGACTGTTCAAGCATTTCTCTGCAGCTGGATCCTTTCAAGTGGATTCTAATCAAAGAATGAAGGCAGAAAGACTGCTTTCATAAAAGTGATGTTATTTGGTATTGATTATACTCTGAAATTTTTGTGTTTTAACTGCCAATCCCATATCAACTTTTCCACGGTGATATATCATGCTACAGTATTGCTTCACTGTGATTAGTTTGTAGGACTAAGTAATGATTCTGCTCAAGTTCCTGTGCATAGTACTCCTTCCACCCTCTCAAGAGCCAAATCAAAGCAAAAAGAAAAAATGTCAGGAAAGAACTCCGTATGCATTTTAGATTAAACACCTTTTAATTCTTTTTAAGTATGAGGATTGAACAACCTATCTGTTTTTATCTATTTTCATTGCTTGATGCTTAGATAAACTGAATGGTTATAATGGTAATGGAAACATAGCTTTTTCTGTTCTCTAACTGTTGAAGTGATTTAGAAGTGCAATTACCTACACCTACACAAACTGAGGCTGCTCTGAGTATAAAATGCTTCAATTCTAATACTGAAAATAATGGGATGAGTGAAATAGGGAGGCAACACTCAGTATGAAAAGGCTGTTAGGAGGCTTACAGAGACAAAGCTATATGATGTTTCAGTAGAAATTTATCTATCTATCTATCTATCTATCTATCTATCTATCTATTTGTATTGGAGCAACTTAATTTTACCCCCTTCTCTCCCTGGTACTCCGAGGATTCAGAAAGGTTCTGTGCTGGTACAGGAACTGAAATCAACTCTGGACAGTCAGTATGAGAGATTAAATCAAAACTGTCTCCTGGTTAAGGAGGAGCCTAAGGGAAGCCACAGAAAACAATGTGATGGACCATCACTGCATGACAGCTTTGATTACTAACACTACTTCCAAATGGCCTCTTCTCTGGTCTTTGCTTTTTCACATACCAGGAGGTGCTGAGAAAGCAGATAAAGAAACTGAAATTCTTGACAAAGAAATGAAAGACTGGATGAAATGTAATTAGTTCCTCAAGTCATGTGCAGCTGTAGAGAAGCTAAGAGAAGTTTGCCATAGAATCTTTCCATAAAAATAATTAAAAATTGCTGCTAATTGTGATTGATACTAAACTTTTAAAATCATCTTTAGAGCTGTAGCACTCACAGCAGAACTGAGCACAGAACACTGTAAACTGTTCTCCTATGGGCTTGGGGAGGCTTTTCTAACCATTTCTGTATGTGCAGTTAGCAGAGGTCACCTGCATTCCTGCAGAACATTTGTATATCAGGAAATTCAAACACTGAAATTGTCTTGATGTAATGTATATACCTTGACCCTTGCCATTGCTGACTTGTGAAGGAGATAATGAAATATCTTCAGTAGCTAATACAACATCTAGAGATAGCACTCAGGTATTCTGCATTATAATTTTAGTAAAAATCAGCCTGAGTATAATAGTTCTCAGTAACACCCATGCTTTACTGTGTGAATTCAAAGAGAAACTATAGAAAACAAACAAACAACAGCAACAACAAAAGCATGGAAACAAAATATAAACAGATAAACCCAATTCCTTGGCACCTCTGTACTCTGTGCAGTCACACACAACTTTAAGGTTAGTAAAAAGGGATGATAACCTTTCTCTCCTTACTACAAGTCATCCATGACTGCCTCAAAATGCTGCATTTCTCAGTCCTGAGATACTGACACCAGAAACACCTAGCAGACCTGGAGGAAAACCCCAGCAGCACCTGTATTCCTTACTGAAGGAAGACACAATCACAACGAGCAGTGCTGAGATGAAACAGGAATCTGATGAGAGCCAGTGCTTCAGCAAGGACGTACTCTCCCCAGTCTTTTTCAGACTCGCGAGTTTTATGATATGGGCTTCAATGCTGACAAAGCTGAACTGGCACATTTCTATATATATTCTTCCCTAAATATCAGGATGTTTCATTGCTTGGATGAGAGGCTAGCAAACAAATGAGGAACAGTATCAAATTCTCAGCCTGAGCAGATCAGAAGCAGTCAAAGAAAAAAGCACAGTAAAGCACTCACAGCTGCAGTTCAGTTCCCATGAGTTGAAGGTACAAACTGCTGATCAGTTCAACCTGTGATTCCTTGGCACTAAGCTATTAAGTAGCAATGATGAAAAATAATGGTTTTGATAGTTGCCCATGAGGTAGGAAGCAATCCCATTCTGCACAGCTTCAGCTCTTCATATTTTTCTTGAACCTTGGCTGGATTGCAGCAACTATGAATGCCTGCTGAGAATGAAAAGGACCTCTGGAGGCTATTTGGTCCAACCTCTGCTCAGGCAAGAACGGTCGGAGCAGGATGCCCAGGATCACGTCCAGACTGCTTTTGTAACCTTGACTGCAAGAACTGTGAATTACATGTAAGGTATTGGGCC